TAAGTGTTTATTGAACACGTGACAGTCTTGGGGTAGCTTTGGGGTGACCTGCAGCGTCCTGCTTTGAACAGCTGGGGGGGTGGGGCTGACATTTCCCAGGGCTAGGAACACAGAGGGGATGAGATGTTGCCCAGTGCTGTGGGGGCCAGCAAGCAGGACATGGCTCAGCTGACAACACGAAGCCTGGAGACCACTGGCAGGGTGTAACGTGGGGAGGAAAATCAATCAGGAAGCGCAATGCCAGTAAATAAGTGGCAATAAGCATGAATAGACAGATCACAAAAGATGGACGGTTCAAGTACTGAGTAACCATTTGCAAAGATGGTTGGCCCCACCGATGAGCATGAGCTCAGCCAGTGCGACAGTTTTATGTCATGTGCTGGTTCACAATGATAAATAATGAGTCTCGTTAGACTGGTGGGAATGCGAATCTGGGCAGAGTTTGAACAAAGGCATCTGGCAGCGTGTTCAGGCACCGGAAAAAAGCTATGTCTTTGGACTGACTAATTCCACTTCTGGAAATTTATCCTAAGGAAGCCCGAGACAAGGTTCTCCTGCCACGCACCCTCACCCCCCTGCCCGCTGTGCCTGACTCCCGTCTTCAGAGAAGGGGCTCCTTTGGAAACAGCACCCACGAGTGGCTGGTGCCGAGGGCGGGGAGGGGAGGGGCTGGGCCGCCGTGGGGGTGTGTTCTGAGCTTCCCTGCCCAACCACTTGTGTCTTCTGTGTGTTTGCAGATGAAGACGGTCAGTGTTGCCCTGGTGCTCTGCCTCAATGTTGGTGTGGACCCTCCAGATGTGGTGAAGACCACCCCCTGTGCCCGCCTGGAGTGCTGGATAGGTAAGGGAATTCCATGTGGGAGGGCTCTGTGCTGGCAGGGCCGCCCTCCAGGGGCCTGGCCCAGTGTGGGCCTGCCACTAGGTCGTGAAGCCCAAGGACTCAGTCTGTGTGGAGTTGTAGAACCTTTCAGCTCTCTTAGACGTCATCTGTGATATGTAGTGGGAACATGTGGCAGGGAAGATTATAAAACACTTGGCGCAGGTCATTCCCTCCTTTCAGTTGCCTTGTATCTGGCATGTAACAGTAGCTACGTGTACATTAAAACACTGATGGCTGGTGCTGTCTGAGAGGGGAAGGCTGGCACTGGGTGGAAGAGCGTCAGGCCTCACAGCGTGCACACAGTCAGGGCATTGTCCCCTGCTCTGTGGCATTGGACCTCGGTTTTCAGTTTATATTCGTGGGAGGAGCAGTCTGGGACGGGGTGGGACACTTGCACAGCTTGAATGTCATCAGTGTCATTACAGAAGGCGGAGAGATTGCTGGACTCCTGAGCGCTGTGCTGCATGTATTTCAGCAAAAACAGAGTACATTATTTAAAAATCGAACAGATGAATGCGTAAACAGAATGTGGGCCATCCACACAATGGAATATTATGCAGCCATGAACAGAAATGAAGCCCTGCTGCATGCCAGGTCATGGTTGAGCCTTGAGAATGCTGAGTGCAGTAATTTGGCCACAAAGGGACAAATACTGAATGGTCTCACTTATTTGAAGTAGGCAAATGCATAGAACCCAAAGCTTATTCATGGTTATCGGGGGTGGCAGGGAGAGGGAAGGGGGTGTTCCTCTTTAGGGGGTACTGAGTTTATATTATATTGAAAAGTCGACAGTTTGAACCCAGCAGCTACTCCTGCAGGTGAAAGATGTGGCCACCCGCTTCCATAATGTTTACAGCCTTGGAAACCCAATGGGGTGGTTCTGTCGGGTCACTAGGAATTGGGATCAACTCTAAGGCAGTGGGTTTGGGTTTTTGGTGTATGGCTAATGGAGGATCCCTGGTGGCACAATATTTTAGCACTCAGCTGCTAACCAAAAGGTCAGCGGTTCGAACCCACTAGTGGCTCTGTGGTGCAAAAGACCTGGTGGTCTCCTTCTGTAGAGTCCACAACAACAACCAAACAACAACCAAAAACCAAATGTATTGCTGTTGAGTCAGATCTGACTCATAGCGAACCCTCCTTGGGTTTCCGAGGTGGTATCTCTATGGAAGTAGATTACCCCATCTTCCTTCTAAGGAATGGCTGGTGGGTTTGAACCGCCAGCCTTCTGGTTAGCAGTCAAATGTCTTAGGCACTAGGAAACTCTATGGGGCAGTTCTACTCTGTCCAGGGGTGCTGACTCCTTGGCAGGGGGTGGTGTGGTTTGGGCTTCGCTTACCTTAAGATGACAACCTAGGAAACTTTATGGAACAGTTCCACTCTGTCCTCTAGGGGTGCTGTGGGTCAGAATCGACTCCATGGCAGTGGGTGTGGTTTGGGCTTTGCGTCCCTCAAGATGACAGCCTTGGAGACCCTGTGCGGTTCTATGAGGAGTCATAATTGACTTCACGCAACAGTGGCTGATGATGTAGAGCTATTCCCAGGTGTGCATTTGGCCCCTTTATCTCTGGGTTGGGCAGTCCTACTTCCGTAGTGATACTGCCTCGGAAACCCAAGGAGGGTTCGCTATGAGTCAGGGCTGACTCGACGGCACATAACAACAACAACAGTCTCTTGTTTGCTGAAGTATCTGTTCAAATCCCCCCCCCCCTTTTTTTTTTAAAGAAGATGAGTTGTTTGCTTCCTTTGGAGTTTCAAGAACACTTGACAGTGTTTGGCAGCAGGTCCTTTCTCAGGTGTGTGTTGTGCAAATACATTCTCTGACTCTTGGCTTGTTTTTCATTCTCTTAGCAGTGTTTTTCAAAGATGAGAAGTTTTTAATTTTGAGGAAGTCCAATTTATCAGTGTCTCGTTGCTATTCATAAGGTTCTCAGTGGTCACTTCTTTCAGAAGTAGATTGAAACTCACCCACCAGGGTGACCCTGCTAGTGTTTGAAATACTGGTGGCATAGCTTCCGCATGATAGCAACACGCAGGCACCACAGTGTGACAAGTTCGTAGATGAGTGTGGTCTTCAGTGTGGATCACACCTCAACATAAAGAAAACAGATCCTCTCAACTAGACCAACAAGCAACATCATGATAAATGGAGAAAAGACTGAAGTTGTCAGGGATTTCAGTTTATGGTTCCGCCACCAACACCCATGGAAGCAACAGTCAAGAAATCAAATGACATACTGCATTGGACAAATTTACCTTTAAACGTAGGAGTCATTCTGAGTTCATTGCTGTTCAGTGAACCTGCGAGAGCCAGGACTCGGCATGACCCCCTTGTTCTCCAGGTCCGGCACGTGCTCTGCCTTTGACAGGGCGCCGTCTGGCCATTTCTCTGTCACCGCCTATTAGAAAATATTTGCGTTTCCTTCTGACGGCTTCCTTCTTACACCGGTTGCAGCCTGCACAGGCGTCACGTGTGTGATGTGAAGTGTTGAGGCGTGTGTTTACGTGTGCG